TATGCAGTGACAGGCTCTCCTGTAGAATTCTACATGACCCAACAGCTATTTCTACGTTCACACTCTGAAGAGATACTTGCTTACTGGTTGCAGAAGTCTTAGCACTCTCCATCTGCTTCAGTGTATAAGCGGTAAAGGAGTTGTTATTTATCCAAGTTTCATGAATTTCAGGAAACATATTTTTAGTTCAAAAGATATTTTAAAAAGCTAGAATGAGTCTAAGGAACTGAAAATACCAATTCAAACTTTGTTCTGAATTTAACATGAATATGCAACTTTATCTGAAGTGGAGTACACTATTTACAACAGTTTCATTCTGACTCACTTTGCAATGTATTTGGACAAGTAGGCTAAATCGCTCTATGTCGATCCTAAGCTTCATGTATCACAGCTCTTTTCTTAAAGCCATCTCTGTGTTACAATCGCGTTCACATTGCTCTCTATGGACTAATGTTGCTAGTCAACCAACAACAGGCAATCAGGGATTTGTAATGTATCCCTCTCCGCTACTAGCAGAGAAATCATTTTTTCCTTCTACAACTTCACTCTTCACTACCATTAGAATGCTTTCTTACAGAAATTAAATACACACTTTTTTTTTTTCTTGAAGAAGGCTTCTTGATAGCATTTCAGTTAATTTCTGAGCCATTGTGAGGGACTGGAAGAAAAGTCTTTTGTTCTCACCCAAATAATTCTTCTCATCACCAGTATGTTTTGATACTGACCTCGAACTCAGATCTTACTTGCCACTGAAAGCACAGACAAATTCCCAGTGATTTTAATCACAGAATCGCATGGATTGGAAGGGACCTCAAGAGATCATGGAGTCCAACTCCCCTGCTAAAGCAGGCTCCCTACAGTAGGTTGAACAGGTAGGTGTTCAGACATATCTTGAATAATTCCATAGACCCCACAACATCACTGAGCATCCTGTTTCAGAGCTCGGTCACCCTTACTATAACAAAGTTCTTCCACATGTTTGTATGGAAATTCTTATGTTTAAGGTTTAGGCCATTGCTCCTTGTCCTATCACTACGCACCACCGAGAAGAGCCTGGCCTCATCCATTCGCTTCCCACCTCCCTTTAGATATTCATAAACATTAATCAGATCCTTCCTCAGTCTTTTTCCCCCAGGCTGAACAGACCCAGGTTACTCAGCCTTTCCTCATAAGGGAGATGCTCCAGGCCCTTTATCAGCTTTGTGGTCCTCCACTGGACTCCTTCTAGGAGATTCCTGTCTTTTTTGAACTCTGGGGAGCCCAGAACTGGACACAGTATTCTAAATGTGGCCTCATCAGGGCAGAGTAGAGGAAGGAGGATCACCTCCTTCAACCTGCTGTCTACACTCTTTTTAATGCACCTCAGGGTACCACTGGCCTTCTTCACCACAAGGGCACACTACTGGCTCATAGTCAACCTGTTGCCCACTAGAACACCCAGGTTCTTTTCTGCAGAGCTCCTCTCCAGGAGGTCATCCTCTAACTTGTACTGATGCATGCAGTTATTCCTCCCCACGTGCACTACTCTACACTTGCTTTTGTTACACCTCATCAGGTTCCTGCCTGCCCAACTCTCCAGTTTGTCTCATGGTATCAGAAGCTGCTACACAGAGGTGAGGGTTATGATGCGCTCAGTGGGAGCACTCATTAGGGTGGAGAATGCTGGCAGTATGTTACAAGCTGGCTGAATTTTAAGCCTGAGGTAAACATTTATTTTCCATGATCACTTGTGTTGCAACAACTCCCAGAAGCCAGGCAAAATAACAAAGCCTCATTAAAGTTGGTGGGGCAGGATCTTAAAAGGTCTAGTATCTAGTGCTCTATACAATATATACTAACATCCTTTTGGTAAACTGCTCCTTTTTCTGGGATGGCGCCTCTTATTTACCAAACACTGAAGAGAAAATAATAGCTGTATTAACTTTTTTAGGCTACAGTAATGATCGAAGCACTCTGACAATGAGGTACTGTTCCTCCACTCACTGAGGGACAATCTATATTCCTAAAGATTCGGACAAGCAATATGGATAAACATGAAGGAGATACTGTTTTTACCAATGGGCCACAGAGATAAAAGTAACCTAGCTGAGTTCACACAGGAAACCTGTGGCATGGTGCAAGGTAGGTGACAGCACAGGGGAAAGACATTCACTGCTCAAACTACAGATTTCAGCTGCACTGACATAGCTTTCAGCTAGGAGTTTGCAAGGCTCCATATTTCACTGGACAGCTGAACTACAACAGTATCTCTGACACAGACATGACCTACTCCTCTTCAGCCTCCTCAAGGCTAGAGCCAAAAACTATGGACAGAAGGTCCTCACCTAAACCAGTTCGAGCATATTGCGTTTACTGAGAGAGAGGGTCGCTCCTGTGCTGTTCCCACCCATGTCTGCTCTGCCAAGTCTCACCCACTGGAACAAACAGCTGGAAATATGCTCGGACCTCTTCCCAAGGAGAGATCTCCAAACCAGGCAGCTTGATTTAAAAAATAAAAATAAAATAAACATCCACATAGGGAGCAGCAATTCCCTGCAGACACAAACACTGAGTTTCTAAGTTAGAGCTGTGTAGGCTTTAATTCAGAAGACTGAACTAGCAGAAGATTGGGTAGTCAGTCAGTTTCTTTCTAAACAGGTTACGTTAATGGCAAAAGCCAACGGAGTTGTAGGACTTTCATAACTGAATGGACTTGAATTTTTTCCCAAATATTATTGTAATAGAGTCTGACCATACAGCGCTTCTGTTTTCACTCCCCTGGCAGTTCATGGGATTCGTTAAACTGTTCAGCTACACAAGCTTTCACACAAACAAATCAGATGCACTTCAGCATATGATTTGAAGAGGGACTGCAGTTTACTTCCCAAATTCTTTTCACATTCCTGTAGCAGGTGTTGGCGTACTGTACACTGCTACAACTTGGCCTTGCCCCCTCTGACAACCCATTCACTCCCAAACTAATTGGGTTAAGGACACATTTGACCGTTCCCTATCAGATAATATTAGTCTGCTTCTAAGTCGCACAAATCCAGACCTTCCCCTAATCAATGCATCTTTCCTGGAGAATGGCAAGTTGCTATGGTTCTTTCATAGATAAATTTACTCAATAATTCCCCAGTGGTCCTACAAGCAATGAGTAGCTCATGACCAGCAACATTACTCCTCTTCTGGTAGCTCACCAAAAGTTAATTTGGTAGTTAACTTGAATCTTTGAAACTGCTTGACTACCCAGTCACCCACTTTATATGACAGGAGCCAACTCCTCAAAACTTTCTCCTGTTTAGAAAAGTAAAATTGCATTAACGCTGTGGACAGAAGCAGTCTTTCATTTTTCTGTTAAAAAAAAAAAAAAAAAAAAAACAAAACCACAAAAACTACAACAGCAAAAAAAAACACACAACCAACAACAACAACAAAAAAAAAGAACAACAAAAAATGTGTGGATATAATGGGAAAGTCAACAGAAAAAACACAGATTTGCACGTCTGAAGGACAACATTCTAAAATGCCTCTTACGTGAGCTTTTTTCATCTACTCTCTAATGTTAGTTTCCTTGTTTTTACTTCTTATTTTGACTACTGCAGGAAGTCTAATTCTAGCTTTCCTTGCTTCTTTGTCCACAAAGAGAGCTCAAAAAAGGCAGCAGTTTCTTGGCTATGAAGATTTCAGCTGATCACTATAAACCAGTCATGGTTAAAACGCACAGAACATGTAAGCTAAACCTGGGCTGGTCATTACAGAAGAGACACCAGAGTGGCCACAGAGAAAATATCAATACCGTGACTGCTGCTGGAGCCAGACTTGTGGGACAATACTTTTACTCCATGGTTCACTTCTTTCTTTTGACTTCTCTGGCTCTTATGAACAGTATGCCTCACCTAAAGTCTACTGAGTATCTTCAAGTTGTTTGCTTTGCATCTCTTGTTCACAGACCTGTAAATTTCATTGAGACCTCAGTCAATAGTTTACAATCTTCTTATTTTTACTGATTTTTGGGATGAGAACTCAATTGCTATGAAGTAATTCCAGCTAGTAGCTGAGGTTTCATTTAAGATTTCACTCCACTACATCGTGGAAACCTGCATGGAGAAGGATGTCCTTATCAAAAAGAACAGAAGGAAGCTGTCCTTGTTCCACCAAAAAGAACAACTCCATAGCCTTGTGTCTCAATAGCTGAATAGCACAGTAGTTCCAAAGAAAATCCAAAATGTATTAACCTTCTCATTCAACACATAGAGACTAAGCTTTTCTAGGAACAATACTACATACAACATTTTTTTGTTTTGCCTACCACTTCCAGTACATAACCTATAACCTCAGCAGACATTCAAAACAAATGGGACCACCAGCAGAACCACAAAAAACAAAGTGCTGTTGCAAAACCATTCTTTGTATTCCAAAAAAACCTTTTAAGTATTGATGATTCAAGTGTACAAGGGAGAAGGTGTCAAGGAAAAAGAGTGATCTGAGCTTTGTTTTTCATGCCTGGAAACATCCTGATGACTATTTTTAATTATACTGGTTATGTTCAGTGCAGTAGTATGAGGAGGAAAAGAGATTATCATAATCAATTTTAAAGATTCAAAAATCATGAGTCACAAAAAATCACAGGACAAGCCAGAGAAATTACAGAAATAAAATAAGATTCAAAGAAAAAAAACACACCCAAAAACAAACAATAAAAACCAAACCTCCTGGGTTCTACTTTACCATTGCTGCACTCTTAAAGTGCATTTGAGTAATTGTTTGGAAACCTTGGCCACAAATGGTTGGAAACTTACTAACTTACAAAATCAAAAGTTAAAAAAAACCCACAACAGTACATTCCAGGAGCCTGATCTTCAAGAAAAATATCAGCTACTGTATGACTCACAATAAAATCACAGGATTTGGCAACACTGCAGAGCATCAGGTAACTTCCATTGCAACACACAGGGGTAACCCATGAAGCAAGTATTTTCAAGTTTTC